TTTTATTTTGAAAGTTTGGTTTGATTGAGCATGTTAGAGCTTGATTGAGGCTTGACTCATGTTGAGAAAAGTGTTCAGATGAAGATTTTAACGGTGAAAATGTATTTGGAAAAATTGAGATACCGTATTTTTGAATAGTGACGTATATGAATAGTACCGTATACGTGAATAGTGATGTATACATGAATAGTACCGTAGAGATGAACAGTACCGTATGTATGAATAGTTAAGAAATATTTGATAAGTAAAAGATGAAATCAATAAATGGCGTGTCTGGTTAACTACTTGGCTTTGAACCATTTTATTAATATTTGTATGGATTCCCTATTCTAGGTGTGCCTTAGAGTCTTGTTGAGGATCCTACATCAGAGGAGGCTTGGTAACTCGGTTATTGGGTAGGCCATCTATACAGCTTTGAGAGGTAAGCTCTATGTTTATGGGGTTCGCTCCTACTTTGTGTTCCGCCATAGTGTACGGACTGTGGTCAGGTTGCATGATATGTATGAGATATATGATATAGATGCATTCATATAGAGCCATATGATGATGTGATATGATATGTTTTGATGTGTTAAATTTGATATGTTTTGATGTGTTTAATTTGATATGTTTTGATGTGTTTACTTTGATATCTTTTGATGTGTTTACTTTGATATGTTTCGATATGATTTCTGTAATGATTTCTGGACATTGATTTGTTTATGCACTGATGTCCGCTTGGGGTCCTCCCTTGGGACTGACTGTGTATATATCTGTTATATGTTGAGTTCCGTTTGGGGTCCTCCCTTGGGAACCTGTGCACTGATTTTCGCTTGGGGTCCTCCTTTGGGATTGATTGTGTACACTCTGTTATGTGATGATCTTTGGCCATTGATCCTATGTGCACTGATGTCTGCTTGGGGTCATCCCTCTAGACTGATAGTGTACATCTCTGATATGTTTTTGGTTCCGCTTGGGGTCCTCTCTGGGAACATGTACGTTGATTTCTGCTTGGGGTCATCCCTTGGGAATGACTACGTACATCTCTGATATGATATGCTTTGTTCTGATGTGATTATTGTGATGATTTTTGTATATGATATTTGTTACGTGCGTTGATTTTCGCTTGGGGTAATCCCTTGGGAATGACTGTGTACGTCTCTGATAAGATTTATGTATATGCTTTGTTTAGTTAAGATATTTGATTATATGATATGTTATATGAGATATGTTCAGTATAGTATGATATATGATGTTTTGTATATTATGTATCTGACTGTCATGCAGGAAGTGAGCCCAGGGTATGGAGAGTTCTCTATAAACCTGAAGCTTACTAGAGATTCGTCTCTAACCCCGTTAGGGGATATGATTTCAGGAACACAGTTAATTGAAGAGCCCTTATGGGACAAGGAAACTACCCGTGGCTAGAGGTACTAGTATGAGGATATGGAGTTCTGGGTAGCCGGAGGCTACTATTTATTATAGATATTATTTTGGGAGAACATGTACTGTTGTATAGTGTTCTATTCATTTGGTGATCATGATGTCTGATCCTTTATTTTGTATGTAGCATGTATATGTTTTGTACATGTCTTTCAGTTGGATGCATGTACATTTGAGTATTCAGGCATGTTGATATGATGATGTAGTATTTAGTTTATGCTTATGTGTTGGATTGCATGATGTTAGACCTAGTGGCACGAAGCCAAGTTATGCATGCGCCCATGGATGGGTATATGATCCTATATGGATATCTGGTATGTCTGAAAGTATATACTGTATAAATTGTCTTTCGGGATACCTTGAGAGTGGGATTTGCAAATCCCCAGTTGTCCGATTTACAGAGGTTACTCTGTCCGATTTTTGTCTCCGTCAAATAAGAATTAAATTATAAGAAGTATGCAATGTGTTATGTCATGTGAAAAAGGATTAAAGAAAAAGAAAAAGTTAGCTCGTATTTTCGTAAGTTAAGTATTCCGCTGTTTCTGTTTGTATCATATGTATGCTAATTGGACCAGCTCGAGACGGGAGTGAGGCTGGAGCATATTAATTTTTTCCTTCAACTAGGGTCAAATCATTAAGCCATGAATCAATCTTTTTATTGGTTGAATGACCGGGTCTAGTTCTCAAACCTTGGATAAACTTGATAGTCATATTTATTGTTGTTAAAATCTCGATTTATCACTACGATTTTACGCTTTTACGATTTTTTTTCAACAAAACAATTTTACTAATATTCCAAACGCTTTTACGATTTTCTTACATTACGATTTTACGTTTTGTGATTTTTTAATCTCCTTCCGATTTTATTTAAGATCTCGATTATAACAATATTGGTCATATTCATTGAGTATATCTGTCCACGATGTCAGACGAAATTTTATATCAAATAAAGCTTTTAAGTCTGAAAAATATTTTCAATATTAAGGATTTACCAATCACTCGGCATAATTTTTATTAAATTTGAAAAAAACAATTATTTATACTATTTTTATCTTTATGATTCTTTTTCTTCGTATCTTTTTCACGCAACCTCACCTTTCTCACCTTCAAACTAATCTAATCAGATAAGATAATAAGGTGAAAGACAAAGTTGTAATCTTGGTGAAACCTCGCGTGCCACCTCCATGATGGAGGTTTGATACAATTTCTAGTCGATCATTTCCGTGTTCTGCAGACTCGAAAGATAATTCTATATTTCATGTGTATGATGATTATAATCTTGCACAAATGTATTTCCTTTTTATTTAAATAATATTTCTTTTTTGTAATAATAAAATTTTGTTTAGACAAGAGTTGAATTTAGACTATTGAAGCTATTTATAGAGTGATGAGATGACGCTTTCTTCTTGGTTGATTCTTTTCTTTTCTTTTTTTGTATATGTACAATGATGGGATTAAAGTTTGAATCTATGATTTACCCAAATCCTACACCACTAAATCAATTGCTTCCTTGGCTAATCCTTTGAGGTTCTCTAAAAGGATTTTTATAAATGTCTAGTTGAACGTAAAGGTGAATATGAGCGTCTCTAGAGATGAGTTGCATCGTGAAGGCACTATGATCATTTATTTACTTTTCCACAAGATAATCTCTTCGTTAATTCTTAATAAAAAATGTAAACATAACAAATTTAAAGTTATTTAAATTGTTTCATCTGACCTATCTCACTATTGTAAAAGTAAAGACTATAGCTGCACCTAACATCTGGAACACGATCAAAGTCGCCCTGAAGAAATACAGCTCAATAGTTGCAGGACGACAGATAAACAAGATAAAATCATAACCCAATTTTAATCCTTAACACTCTCTCACTTTTAAGCTGTTATTTTCAGGTATTTATGGCATTTGACATGAACCAAAGTTGAGCAAATACTTGGGTATCCAAGTAGACAAAACATATGCAGATCCAAAGTATTTTCACCAGTTGTTCAAAATGTGAGGAAAACTACAAGGGTTGAAATCTCATTTAGTTTCGCGAACTAATAATAGACTTATAGTTCTCAACTCTGCTTTACAGTTAATTTAAGTGCTTCTTGTCACGTTTTCTTTTGCCACAAAAGTATTAAACACATTGATTCCTAAACTAGCAACATCCAGTATGACTATTAAGAGATACAGCAGTGTTAGTCTCACATAACAATATTTGCATATTCGGAGTTACTTAACAATCGTTTTTCTTTTCAATTAATCCCTTCTATAAAGGAATTAATGGGGGAAACTATATTTAATTGTGGCACATATGAAATGGACGTCAAATGAATTTGGATAACAGATTATAGTGGCACTGAAATCATCACCCACAAAATATTACTTCTAATAGCTTATTTGTAAGGTGTCAGTTCTCACAAATCACAATCAACAAACTGGAAACTGAAGGCTCTTTAAGTGATTGCATACCCACCGCTCGTGGTCGTGGAAATTTCCTAAGATCTCAATCTCCAAATTTGGAGCAACCGAAATGTTTGACGTGGTTAGCGCAACCGAAATCAATTTTAATGCTTTTCTAAATAATTTATGAAGAAAATAAGAAGAAAATAAAATTGCAAACGACATTTTTAAGAAAATTTATCCAATCGTAACGTGAAGTTCTCTCTCATTCTTATTCTCTCTCCTTATTTAGGGTTGGCAAAATGGGTCAATCCGACTCAACCCAGAAAAAACAAACCGGGTTAGAGTTGGCTCGAAAAATAAACGAGTCAGAAAACTCAACCCAACGCGACCCGAGTCGGGTTAGGATTGGCTCGCGGGTTGGCTCGAAAAAATGAAAAATAAAATAAAATTTCATTGATGCTATAACTTCTAATTTTTTTTCCTAAATTATTAATTCATTCAATACAAAGACATTATACAGATAAACCAAAGAAATTTTTTTATTTGGACTTGGACTTGTTGACAGTTGGCACCACATTCACACTGTCACACATACTATAAAAAAGGTTTTTAATACACGGTTTTGGACTTATTGACAGCTGCAGGATATTTTTGTTGGGATTTTTGGAATTGGATTTTTAGGTTTTAGCTTTCCACTTTACCTTCGTTAATTTTTATACTTTTATATTAAAAAAAAACCAAGCCAACCCGTTTGACCCGTGGATTAGCTCAATTTTTTTCGAGCTGAAATGAGTCAGACTGACTCAAGTTACTAACTCATTTTTCCTAACCCAACCCAACTCATTTTAACTGAGTTACGAGCCAACCCGCTCAATTTTGCCAAGCCTATCCTTATCACCTCTAAATCAATGATCCTGGAGGAAATCTAGGGGCAGGGAAAAATTGGGAATGAATTGCCTCACATGTTATTTATAGAATAAGGTTTATATTTACAAAGTTTACAAGTTTAAACAAAAAAAATTATAAATTTGTAAACAATATAATCATCGTCTTATTTATCATGTAAGATGATTGTTATCATTCATGGTCAAATAAACAGAGAAAAATATATTAGGATAGAAAATAATAAAATCATCAATTCATCACCATTGATACCATCATAAATAGCTATGGCATATGACCTAGTCATGTTGAAAAACCCACACCAGAATTTCTGCCAACATTGTATATGTGGCAAGGAAATCCAGTAATTTTCGAAAAAGCAAGACAATGTATGTTATCATAGACATGGTCCAAGTAGGCATTATCTTCCAGAAGCAACCCAATGAGTTTAAATTTCACTCATCATCGTCATAACATAACATCATAGCCAAATCCAACCACTTATGCTCACTCAGTATATTTTCTTTAATTAAAGAGAAAAAGAAAAGGAAAAAGAAAGATACATAGCTGAATAATGAAGAGAGAGATGGGTGGTTCTAACTTCTAATTAAGATTGGGAAGCTCGGTGTTTCTGAATCTTCTTCTCAAGCTCATCCTTTTTGGCGCCAACAACCCTCTCAATCTCTTTCCCTTTCTTCACCAACACGAATGTCGGCATCGCCTGCACCTCAAACTCCTTCGCCACATCCTATTGTTCGTTTCCCCCATAAATCAAACATTGTCAGTTAAATAATAATAATAATAAAAATAAAATAAACAAAATAATTCAGATAATCAGATTGAGTTAGAGAGAGAGAGAGAGAAAGGAATATGACAGATAATTCGTCGACGTCGATCTTGATGAATTCAACATCGGTGAAGTTTTCGGCCATGGCGTGAATTGCTGGCTCTATGAATTTGCATGGTCCACACCACGAAGCAGAGAAATCTATAACAACCTAAGGAAAAGGAGAGAGAAAAAAAGACTCAGATCTCCACCACATCATAAACAAAAGGGGGAAAATTGAGATCCGATGAGAGAGAGAGAGAGAGATGGCGATTACGAGGTTAGAGGAGTCCTTGATGTCGTTGAAGTGAAGCTGCCAGCGCGCCGAAGAGTGGAAGGTTTCGACGCGAGAATTCTCCGCCGAAGACGACGCCGCGTGTGCGTCGCCGCCGCCGCCACCAAAGATGGAAGAGAGAAAAGCCCCCATTGCTTTTGTTTAATGGTATTTGCTATGCTGGACTTACACACTACGCATTCTTTATATATTCTCAACATGTTGATTCCACATAATCATCCATACTTTCTACCTTTTTTTTTTCTTTATAAATATAATAGGGGTTTGTATGTATCATATTACATGACACAAAAAATTTTCTACACACAATATTTCGTGGGGCTTACATTTTTTGAAGCAAAACAAAAAAAACTAAGGCATGCAAAACAAATCTCTATAACATTACATAATCAATTTTCCTACAACATAACTCTTATAAAATTCAATATAATATAGGGTTTATTATTTGGGAAATAATTATCTCATGTTGCATGAGATAATTATCTCATGCAACAGAGACAAAATAATGGAGTCCATTATTTTTTTTTTCTTTTTTTGAAAAAATAGTAGACCCCACAATTTTATCTATGTTGCATTAGATAATCTCTTATTATTTATGCTTTATTTTCCTTCGGCAAATAAATTTAAAGAATCATAATCATATAAAAATGGGTGAAAATATTATATGTGAAGAATCATAACTAATCAATGATATAAGATTTATTGTTAGATGTCTAGTAGTTGGATAAATAATTGGGAAAACTTCATCAATGCCCCTGTAGTTTTCTTCAGAATCATTTATGCTCCTGTGATTTTTTTTTATCACATATGCCTCTGTGATTTGTAAAAGGGTATGTTTTTTATCACATATGCTCCTGTGATTTTTTATCTTTTACAAAGCACAGGGGCATATGTGATAAAAAAAATCGCAGGGGCATAGGTGATTATGAATCAAATCATAGGAGCATTGGTGAACTTTTCCCTAAATAATTTTATCATTATTTTTTATGTTATAGGATATAAATTTATTTTTTACATATAGGTTAAAGTATATTGGACCCATATTTTCTCTTTCTCTTTCTTTTCCCACATAAATCGCATGGTCTCCACACATTTTTATTTGTGTAGGAGATAAATTTATGAGAAAAAAAAAAATTTACACCCCCTTCGATTTCCTTGTTAATATGAGTCCCACAGATAACTTTTTCTAATATAGGAGCCTCATATGACTTTTGTCTCAATGGCATAAGAAGGCTCATCTTGTATAACATGAGAACATTGAGAAATATAAAACCCTAAATTTATCTCCTATAAAATAAGAAAGAGTAGATCCTATAATATAATTATACATTGCTGGCTTGCTATGCCTTGTTTTAGTTTCACATCAAATAAAGGGTTTGATGTTTGTAGGAGATATTAGTCTCACATAGTTTTTTATATATATATATATATATATATATATATATATATATATATATATATATATATATATATATGACATAATTTTATTTCTACTTGAGTATTTTTGAATTAAATGTGTATAAATAGAATCCAATGACATAAGAATAGAGGATTCTTTTTATATATAAATTTTAAGAATTTGGCTTTTTTTAAATTAGAACCATACTTTAGAAAATAAATTCGAATTTATAATCATTGAGTAAAAAAACTAAAAATTGAGATTATGATCAAGGATTGAAGATAATTTATATGCCAACTATAAAAGAGGAAATAGAAGAATCACAATTATCCAAATATAAAATCCAAAAAACATAAACACATCTTGACGTTCAATGGCATGATGACCAGTGAACCAGACACAGGGTGTTTACATTCCCAATTTCCCATCTCAATAGAGGATGGTAAAATTAAAATGAAGTGGGAAATTTACACTGTTTAGATCCCTGTTACAATTCTTGGTATAGAGCTACCAAGAATCACCCCAGAAAACCGACTCACAGAAACGGAAAACATAAAGAACAACACCAGAAATTTATACTTGGTTCAGAAATTCTTTATAAAAGAATTTCCTACATCCAAGTTGGCCAGTGAGGGTCAAACGCCCTGTAGCATGCACTCTTATTCAGAAACAGATAATAGGTACAAAGAGTTCAAGATACTAAACTTGTAACTCTACCAATACAGCATATACAAGGCATATAACAGAGAAAGAAAAATAGAACTACAAAGATACATCACATGTACACTATCACAGTACATATAAAAACAAGAACTTGCAAACTAAAGACGTGTAAAGGAAAGATTTCACCAATCAGGCATCCAGCTCCACCTAAACCGTGGATTACTCCATGGGAGCTCACAACCTCTTCTGCAACCAAGAAAAGCTCCACGATGCAACACCTCCTCACCAACGTTTGCAAGAATCTCCAGAAAGTAAACCGATCAAACTATGTATCTTTGTAATAGGAACAACTTTCTCAACAGCCTTGAGATGAGATTCACAAGTTTTCACACTCAAATCGTCCTCACAGGTTTTGACACAAACCCTAAGTTTCCCCTTTTTTGTTCAGAGAAAAAGAAAATGAACCGAGAGAGAGAGAGAGAGAGAAAGAACTCAAGGAATCACAAAATGAATGCCACGTTATCCCTGAAAAATCTGAGCCTCAGCGTTAAATGAAAGCATAGGTATTATAATATCAACCAATTTCAACTTAACCAAAAACGGCAGCGTATTTGTAATGCAGCTGATATAAAAAATATCAATATATATGGGCCTTACCAATAAACACAGTAGGATATATTTTAGGCCCAATAGCAAACAAACAGGTACCAACATGATTTAGAAAATACAGTTTAACAAATCTCCACCTATTTACTAAACATACAACAGAACACAGTGCACACCAGAGTTTTCTGACGTTTAACCCAAGGCCTATGCTATGCATGCAATTTAGGGAGGTTTTATTTTTAGCAAATTTAGAGCCTCCCTAAATTTACTAAGAGGAACAGTCTTAGTCAAAATATCTGCAGGATTAATTTCAGTTGGTATTTTATTCACACTAACCTGACCATTACTAATTATTTCCCTTATGAAATGCAACCTAACATCTATATGCTTGGTCCTTTCATGGTATGCACCATTTTTGGACAGGTGTATGGCAGATTGAGAATCAGAAAATACCTTAGGAGGGTCCTTACCTAGACCCAACTCAGAGACAATTCCATGTAGCCACATTGCCTCCTTGACAGCTTCTGTGAGAGCCACATAATCTGCTTCAGTTGTGGAGAGTGCCACAATGTGTTGCAAGCTTGCTTTCCAGCTCACCACATTTCCTCCCACACAGAAAACAAAACCAGTTAGAGATCTTCTTTTGTCAAGATCAGCAGCATAGTCAGAATCACAATACCCAGTAATATCACAATTAACTGAGTTTTGAGCAGTATAATGAATGCAGCAATCAACAGAGCCACTAAGGTATCTAAGCAACCATTTCACAGCATTCCAATGTTCCTTAGATGGTTTACTCATGTATCTACTTACTACACTAACACTATAAGCAATATCAAGCCTAGATCCTATCATGGCATACATTAGGCATCCAACAGCATTAGAATATGGAATATTGCACATAAAAGAAGCCTCATCCGAGGCTAACTCACCATCTACAGCCTTTAACCTGAAGTGACCAGCAAGGGGAACACTTACAGGTTTGGCCAGGTACATGTCAAAGGTCTTTAAGACCTTTTTCACATACTCAGATTGAGAGAGTCAATATCCTCTCATCTCTTTTTCTTGTAATGTCAATGCCAAGTATCCTTTTGGCTGGACCAAGGAACTTCATCTCAAATTCCTTTTTCAACAATGATTTCAGATTATTAATTTCATTTATGTCCTTAGATGCAATTAACATGTCATCAACATAAATCAACAAGTAGATAAAACAGTCATCATGCAGTTGTTTAAAGTACACACAATGATCAAAACTACTCCTATTAAAGCCTTTGGACAAAACAAAGTCATCGAATCTCTTATACCACTGCCTAGGGGCTTGTTTTAACCCATAAATGGACCTTTTCAAAAGGCACACTTTGTTCTCAGCCCCTTTTTTATAAACCCTTCGGGTTGCTCCATGAATATGAGCTCTTCAAGGCTGCCATGCAAGAAGGCAGTCTTGACATCCAATTGTTCCAATTCTAAATCATGAATTGCAACAACTGAAAGTATGAGCCTAATTGAAACATGTTTCACAACAGGGGAGAATATTTCATTGTAATCAACCCCCTCAACTTGTGAAAAACCCTTAGCAACAACCCTTGCCTTAAACCTGGCAGCTTCAACACCTGGGATTTATGGCTTCCTTTTAAAAATCCATTTGCATCCAATCACCTTCTTGTTCTTTGGATGCTCCACCAAAACCCAAGTCTTATTTTTCTCAAGAGACTCCATCTCTTCCTTCATGGCTTTTAGCCAATGAATTTTAGAATCCAGCTTCATAGCCTCTTGGTATGAGCTGGGTTCATTAAACTCCAGCACATCTCCAACTTGGAGTGCAAATGCTATGACATCTGCATGTGCAAAACGACTTGGAGGTCTTATATTCCTCCTAGTCCTATCTCTGGATAGCAAATAATCCTCTAGATTATCTCTATCCAGTTCCACATCATGCTCCTCAATGGGAATGTCATTCCCATCATCTTGAACTTCAGCAACAGTGTGTTGTTGTTCATTTTCAGCCACATTAGGTTGCTGCCCAGTGTTGTTGGGCAGCTCCACCTCCAACTCAACAGTCCTAGGAGGATGCTCTTTGTCACTCAGTTCGGATATGTCTTTATAGAATGTGTTTTCTTCGAAAATCACATCTCTACTTATGACACACTTCCTTTCAGCTATGAGCCATAGCTTATATCCCTTAACACCTGAAGGATAACCAACAAAGACAGATTTAACAACTCTAGGACTCAACTTATCTTGTTTTACATGCATGTATGCAAGACAACCAAATGGTTTTAAGTGTCCTAGACTTGGTGGCTTACTAGACCAAAGCTCCATAGGGGTTTTAAGACCTATAACTGTGGATGGGCTCCTATTTATAAGGTAACAGGCTGTGGAAACAGCCTCAGCCCAAAAAGATTTAGGGAGACCAGATTCAGCCAGCATACATCTGACCTTATTTAGGATGGTTCTATTCATCCTTTCAGCCACCCCATTTTGTTGGGGTGTTTCAGCA